TTATTTTATTACACAGCATATTTTTCACAATATATACTACAATTTTTATTCTAATATTTTTCCGCCAATTTTGTATAAAAATATGGTTCATTCTACAATAATAATATAAATACAGTTCCTAAACTTTGTGCCAAACTCCCAAAAATTCAACAAATTTTCAACTTTTTGATCAGATTTTTTACAATTTGTACAATGAGTATGCAGTTTTGCAGCCCATAAATTCTAGACAAAAAATGCAAATTCGGAGTTAGTGGAAAATCGCATTGATTTTTAACTATTCTTTTTTTTTGTGTTGAAGGTGTTTTGCGTTTTTTCCATTTAGTGTTTTCGAAAAAAATTTTTGTATGAAAGAGACTGCGTGAAAAAAATTGCCAAAAATCAACGATAATTCCTAGGTACTTAAAACTTGTACTTTATTATAATAAAATTGATGGGCTACAAATCTGCATACTTCAAAACATTCTAAAAAAATTTATTGAAAAGTTGAAAATTTGCTGAACTTTTGCGGGTTTTGCACAAAGTTTAGAAATTATATTTTTATGTTTATTGTTGTACAATGAACCATATTTTTATACAGAATTGGCGCAAAAATATTATAATAAAAATTGTTGCATATATTGTGAAAAATTTGCTGTGCCAATACTTTGTTCCGGCAGTGTACATAAAAAATGCTAGTTGAAATTAACAAAATAAAAATTTGTATTGCATATGTAGAAGCGTGCAACCCCGGCGGAAAATATTTTCTGACCAAAGTTTTTAACAATACTTTTCATTTGATATCCATATTGCGATATTTTAGATAAATTGTGTAGAATCGAAAATAAGTGGCAACGTTACACTATTATCCTAAGGGATAACTTATTGTATATAGGGAAAGCATTGTTTAAGAACCTTCTCTTAGTACCCATGAATAGTAATATTTTACCTTTTTTCTAAACAAAAAATTAAATAAATATGTGATTGAAAATAGGTGGAAACCCTATTAAAGATATTTTTGACTTAGGGATCTTCAAAATAGCTTCCATTTGATACCAATATTATGATATTTTAATTAATTTGTAACTAATTTCGAATAGGTGGCAACCTTATACGAGTCTTCTCGGAGATAGTGCCTATTCAGATAACCCTAAAATTTAAAACATTAACTGTTTAAAAAAATTTATCGAAATCGTTAGAGAACCCTATGGATATATGTATACATATATATGTATATTAGCGTGGGCCGCTTTTTAGAATTTTGATTGGTAATAGCAAAAATATGGTTCATTATGCTCTAAAAAATATCTGTGTGAAATGTGAAAGTTTTTGGTCAATATCCTAGGCTCGCCCAAGTCCATTAAAGTTCAAGTACTAAAAAGAAAATTTTCTTAGCTAACTTCGATTCTATACAAAAAAGGTCCATATACGTAATTATGTAGGACTAATACTTTAGAAGATTATTGAAATTTTAGTAAAAAAATGTATTACTTAATTTATTTATTAATTTTTATTTTTTGACCATATTGAACTTTTATGGACTTGGGCGAGCCAAGATATTGACCATAAATTGTCATATTTCACACAGATTGTTTTTAGAGCATAGTGAACCATATTTTTGCTATTACAAATCAAAATGGTAAAAAAGGGGATTTTCGGCCCACGCTAATGTATATACACGAATTGCTCGTTTAATCTAATAAGATTTACATTTTATTGACCTATCTACTTTTTATTTCTACTTTTTATTTTTCATTAGCATTTATTTTTTATCTACCATTTATTTTTTTATCTACTTTTTATTTTTTTATGTACTTTTTATTTTTTATCTACTTTTTATTTTTTATCTACTTTTTTTTTTTATATACCATTTATTTTTTAATCTACCTTTTATTTTTTATCTACCATTTATTTTTGTATCTACTTTTTATTTTTTTATCTACTTTTTATTTTTTTATCTACTTTTTATTTTTTATCTACCATTTATTTTTTATCTACCTTGTATTTTTTATCTACCATTTATTTTTTTATCTACTTTTTATTTTTTTATCTACTTTTTATTTTTTTATCTGCTTTTTATTTTTTTATCTACTTTTTATTTTTTTTTTATCTACCATTTATTTTTTTTATCTACCATTTATTTTTTTTATCTACTTTTTATTTTTTATCTACTTTTTATTTTTTTATCTACTTTTTAGGTATTTATCTACTTGTTATTCATTTTTTTACCTTTTATTTCTTTATATTCTATTTAATATTAATTAGTTTATTAAGTCCTCTAAGGTTTATAACGGTGGCCTTCCAGAAGTGGCCTTTCAAAAAAAATAATAATAATTTTTTATATTTTATGCACATATACATATTTTTCATAGCCGTTGTACATTGTTATCTCCGAACTTCATTGATATAAACAAACATACGCTTTAATTAATTATGTAGATTCTGTCATACATTTTACGTTGACAGAACAAACAAAAAATGAGCTTTGCGAAATAAGATAACACGACTAGATGAATATAAACACGAGAGGCATCAATCAAAAAATTAACACAGACACTCTTGGATATACGGAGCAAAATTTGAGAAAACAAAATAAACCAAAATCAAATTTACAGCCAATTTCACAAAAGCAATTTAAGTGAAAAATTATTTAAATCTTTAATTTTATATGGAAATTTACACAAAATAAAAAATAATTCTCCATTAAATTAGGTTAACTTAAATACAAAAAATAATAATTTTATTCGATATAAACTTTTAACATCTATTATTAGAAATGCCTAAAATTAATTGTTAAAAAACCGTATGCCCGTCGCTTCCCAGTAGATAATTTCAGGAGTTAAAAGCCCTTTTGAAAGGCCTTCCTGAGAGTCAAGAGGCCTTCCACTATACATTCCTTTCTCCTTTCTTTTTTGTATGGAGTGGCACAAATTTAAGGGCTTCTTCTTTCGCTACCCATGGAAGGCCTTGCAGAAGGGCTTTCATAGGACATACTTCAGAAGGGCTTTTGGGGGAGTTCTTTTAAAGTTGCTTCTTTAATTTATAAACATCATACATCTTTGAAGTATTTTTGCTTGCGGTTTATATCAAACATGTGTTATTGCGGCTTAAAATGTTATTGAAATTCATTTGTAATGCTAACTAATATAAATTTATGCATTCGCGTAAAATGTAAATGGATAAGCCCTTCTAGAAGGCATGCAAGGAAGCCCTTCTTGGGTAGGCCTCTTAGAATGGCTTTACTTAAGAAGGCCTACCTAAATTATCTTCTGGGTTATTTTAAAATATGCGCTTGGAATGCTTTCGTAGAGGACTTTTTTTGCATTGTAACTACGTACTTCAACAACTAAAAACAAAAAAAAAACACAATGTTAAAAGTGCATGCCTTCTGGGTTGAAGTTGAATGCGACATTGAATAAAATATTTACTCGTTGGAAAGAAAAAAATGGGAAAACCACCTCACTACGACGGGTTATATTTGCCTGACATACTACGAAGAAACATAAATAAGGGTTGCTCAAGAAGGGGCGCTAAGCGAAAAGAAAAGACTAGCAGCACAAAAAAAAACTTGAATGCAAGAAAATTGTTACGAGTTGGCAAATTTCACAAGCGTATCAAATGCGGTGTGAAAACCAGCATAAAACTTAATAACAAACAAAAAATCACACGAAAGCGCAAAGGATCAACGACTTAACGAGTTGAATTCGACATCTTTTTTTTTTCCTTTTTATTAAGATTTCATAAGTTATTTGTTGTTTTTGTACAGATTCTAGTGTCCTTCACGTGCACTTTTTGACTTTTTCTATTTATTATTTTTGTTTTACTTGCGTTTGTTCTTTACTTTTTTTTTGTCTTGCTTTCGCAAAGTAAACTCTTCTACGCTGATTTCTTTGCAATAAGCTTAGCAACGTTTAACAACAAATTTCATGGTTTCTTTCCCACTTACATATCTGCTACGTAAGTAATGGAACGCAAGTAAGTAAAAGCGCAGCAGCTAACTTTTTATCTGCTTCATAGATAAGTGTTGGCAAAAACAATGAGATAACAACAAACAGTTTAGCGACTTGCTTGTGTAAGTTTTCTTCAATGCGCTGCTGCTTTGGGGTGTGAAATATTTGGCGTAAAAGAAGTTTGTGTTAAGCGAGGGTAGATTGAATCCTTATGACCAGTTTTTCACTACGAGTTTGACTCTGTTTGTTGTTTAAACTAAGTTTAAAACTCAGCGTGCAGTTTAAGTTTAAACGCCCAATCTGGCTAGGTTAAACCGAGTTTAAGCTATCAGCTGTTAAGTTGAATATTTGTAGTCAGCTGCCAAAAATTTAGATGAAAGAGGATGAAAAAATTCAAATAGTTTGCGAAATACACGAAAACAAACTCATTTCCATTTATGTTTGTGCCACAAGAAAATTAACAAACGCAACTTGAGTTGGAGTTTACTTGCTTTGGGCAATTTGGTCGGGCAACACATGAAGCACCTAACAAATTCTTTAAATTTCCGTCTGTAATATTTCAGAACTTTAAACGCGATCGTATTAAAAGTGAAAATAAATAGCTAAGTTGAAGAGCAAAGGACTTTCTAAGGCTCGCAAAGGAATTTATTTAGAAATAAATGTGTATGTCAAGAGAATTTTAATTTGTCTAAGGGAACATTTTTTCGTCAATATTTTCTGGATTGTCTCCATTGAATAACTATTACCAAAGATATAGAACTTTAAAGATACAGATATAGCTGGTTTCTATCAAAAAAATTTCAATACCGCAAAATACTAATTTGGGTTATTTATTTCGTGTCAAGTAGTTCTCATAATAATAAAATATATATATATAGATATTGCGGCAAATACCGCTAATATCTGGAAAACCCAAATTGTTGGGTAATACAGTAAAACTTTCTAGATTTCTGTGGCTTTTTACAATTTAAAATAGTTCCAATAATATATTTTTCTTTCGAATTAAAATCTGTCGTTGATATCTTTTGTTTATAAATCTTGTACATAGTAAAATCAAAACAAATCTGAACTCACCTTCTCAATGTTGTACTTTTCCAATGCCTGTGTCGCACAATCAACAGCATCCTGCTGCATTTCTTCGCTCATATCGGCATTTTTAATCACTGCTTTGCGATCTGACATTTTGTGTGTGTGTGTTTGTGGTTTTTGTTTGTTTCTTCAATAAAAATCAGCAATAAATCTGCAAATAAACTATACAAAAATTAAAAATTATTAAATCAGTCTAAAAAACTTCGAAATGAGTTTGTAGTTAAATTTTATTTGATATTTTAGCAAATAACATAAAAAAGTTATGGTTATAAACACGCACACAGGCCTACAGTTTCATCGAACTATTAAGAAATCAATGCTGATAGAAGACGTGACTACAAAACAGCATAAGCAACCGTAATAGCTTGTACTTTGCACATGTGAAAATACTGCACAATCGCGCGATAAAACCCACAATAATCACCTACAAATACATATACCGCAAGTCCTGTGAAGCAATAAATGTAAATATGTAAGAACCACAAACACTGTTAGCAAAATGACACACAATGACACAACTTTGCCAACGAATATAAATGCACGCAGCCCTTTGTCATTCTATTCCTCACCGTCTACATACTTTTACATTACACTGTATCACTTACAGTTCATTTTCAAAACTATTTCGGATTTCTAGCTTAGTTTTTGAAGTAATGAAAAGAAAATTAAACAACGGAAAATGGCATTTAGACACGCGAATTTGTGTTTTTCTGCTTCTGGTGTAGCATACATTCAGGCGCACAATGCAGTGGAATCCCAATTTTTAAAGCTTTTTTTGTTCATGTCTACAAAAAATAACAGCGCGAGTGAGTTGAAAGTGTGGTTATGCCGTTGATTGCATGCTTTCATTTAAATATTAAAAAAGTTTTCAAATGCGCTTTCTTTTTCATTGATTAGCTAGTGAATTTGATACGATTTAGCCCGAAGTTGAAGAGTGCCCATAAAAAGTTTCGTACTGCAAGGAGCTGAAATTTGTATGCATGCGGTACAGTATTAAAAGTTGAATATCTTTCCATGAAACACTTTGTGATTATATGTATAAGTAATTTGTGGTATACTTTTCGGCGCAATTTCGATTTTATTTCGCAAAAGAGCACTACGAAATTAACGGTGAATTGAAGAATGAAGAAACAAAACGACCAAACGCCTGGAATAAAAAAAATGGGCCGTATGCATAAAAACTAGGCAGTTGCTTTTTCTTAAAATTTCATACCTTTCACTTGAATTTATTTGAACAAAAGTCAGAAATTTTAAGATAAAGCATTTGCAAATTGGTGTAAATTGAAATGATTTGTGATTTTATAGTTTGAAAAATGTACATAAACCAATATCAACTATGCAAAATGTATATTGGCATACTTTTAGGCGCTGTAGAATATTCATGACATACAAATACTTCTGCAAAACGTATACTTCCACGAACCAATACCGCCAGTTGAGGCGCCGGAGCGAAATACTGGAAGTGACGCACCAAATTCTTATTGCTTAAGAATTAATGCACAATCAGAATGAGTAGGCGAATGAATATGCGGCTTTTTGTTTGTGCACTTTAAATGGGTCAGAAAAAAAAAACAAGTTTAAAAAAGGGGAAAAAGGCTTCCGGCATGGCATTCCTTTTTTTTTACACACTTTCAAATTCTAGGGATGGAAAACCACACCTTTCGGCTCGCTTAAAGAATCTAATACTTTCATATAATTTGATATTAAAATTCCGCACTTTGCCGGCAGACACAGAAAAAATGTATTCCATGAATGGAACAGCAATTCACCTGCGCCTAGCTGCCCGCTACATTTTAAGCTTCAACCACTGTTGATTCGCGCTGGCATTTCCATGTAGTAATAACACATTAAAAAAAGGTAGATAATGTGGCAGGCAAACGGCACATTAAAGCAAAGGCAAAAGCAAAATGGGTACCATGAAATACCGCCGCTAAGCTAAAATAATAATGAATTCACCATAAATGCGCGTGTCAGCAATTGTCAGCATATGGCCGCAATAGCAGCGGCCCCATTCATGGGCAAGTAAGGGCAAACAAAAACTAAAACCGATGGCTAACGAGCCGACAGTAAGGCAGCCAACAATTCGATTAGATGGAGGCAATTAGCGAGGCGCACAATTGATAATGAAAGTGACAATGGCGTGCGCGCTGCGCTGTAAGGGCACCAAACAGCGAAGAAACGTCGCAAGGTAAGAACAAACAACGAAAAACAATTGTGGCGACGGTTTTGGTATTGTAATTATTTTGTTTTTATTATTGCAGTCTTTGGAATTGAATGGCAGGTTAATTGTATTAGTAGGCGCGGCGCACCCAAGCAGCAAAAGCGGGACAAATCGCCTTTGAATAGACAATGCAACGGACGGAAGCTGCTGGCAGAGATGCGCGCAATTGAATGGAGTTGAAAGCGGAAAAATTGTTATGAACAAGCAAAAAAAGAAAGAGTAAGCATTTAGGTTGCTATCTCTCGCGCAGCCATGGCATGGCGCCGTGCAATATGCAACGTTTTTATGCTGCACATTTTGAATTCTAACAAATTTTAAGCCGACTTTCACCCTGACAATGAAAAATATTTATTTAAATGTTGCTTGGTGTTGTTATAACAAGAAATTCTGCGAGTTGTATTTTCATCTTAATAGGCTGGTGGTGGTGGTTAAGTGATGATGCTCCTTGGCCCCATATAACTTCAGAGTCGCCCATGGCATTAATGAACATGCGACCTAATTTCTGCGGTATGGTGATGTAGGAACTATTTGCCCCTAAATACGCTTTTCTTTTATTATACTATGACAATCTGGCTCCTCCAACTTTAGGCCCAGAAAATCTGAAAGAATCCTTTACCCTTTTTCTCGCGCAAGTTCAATCTAGGTAACATTTGTAAGTGGCGAGTGAAGCTTGTGGTTGTCGTCGCAGTGGTATTTGTAGATGGTGTCCGAACTCTTCCTACAAATTAAATATGCACAACATATTTAGCTTTCTCCATCATGCTGAATTTAGGTAATTCGGTCAGTGAAATACCACCAAGCATTTCCTGGAGCATAGCGGCATAATCGTGCAGTTATTGTTTCAATGTCATTGGGAGGGACCCAGTGGGGATACGAAAGGCGAAGTTTTGGTCTATCTGCAGGGTTCCTTATATTGTTTCTTAACGCAGTCGAGAAGGAAAGAAGATAAATCCACGTAACTTTTCATGTGTTTTAAATCATGGTTATGCCACTATATGCTTTTGAATCTAAAAATGTCATACCCCACCAAACGGGTTCATGAAATGATGCCGAAATTTATGGTTAATTTTCTTGTATAATTGAAGTCATGAAATTGTGTTTATGTAGCCACATTTAACCCAAATTCATGAAATTGGCCAACACATAATTGTAGTATCTAATGCTTACGAATTTATTCTTAAAATTAAACATACATAGAAAGGTAAACAGTATTTTTAATATTCCTGCACCTAGAAGTGGGTAATTTTGAAAATAGGAGTCTCCAGCGTTCCAACGTTAAAAATTTTACCCCTAAAATCGGAATGTTTTAAATTAAAGTTTGCTCAAAACATATATCAACCCCAGATCCATAGTAATTTTTGCTTAAAGACAGTAATTCTTGCATTTCGACAATCCCGACCTACGGTAAAAGCTACCGTGGCGCGTGTGAATAGACACTGCCAAAACACTAATACGTTAAGAGCCAAAAACAAAAAAAAAGGTTAATAGGTATAAAAATTCATTCAAATATAAGTAAAACAAAAGACGCGCCAGTTTTTAACGCCCTCATTTCTCTGACAGCTTTTGTTATCGCTTTTTTTTGCTTAGCTTTTTCCTCTTGGCTGCAGCTACATATCGTTGTTTAAAGTACAAAACCTCGTATCAACAAAATGCAAAAGCGCGTATTAAGATAATGCAAAACCGCGTATGTGAGGTTGCATAAATTAATTTCTAGATAGTAAAACCACTCATATTTCAAAATGGTTATCTTTTTTATAAAGCAGTCACAGATCTGGCTAGTATATTTCAGGATCCAATTTTTGGCTGCAAATGTCAGTTACGCGATTTTGCAGAATGACGACGATACGCGGTTTTGTACTTTAAACGACGTTATGTACATACGTATTAGGTTTGTTCGTCGAGCAAAAAATTTGTACGAATTTGTATGAATTATGATCATTTTTGCCTAATTCGCGTTCGTGCAGACCAAAATATTATCCATCACTCAAAAACTGAGAGCGCAAAGGTAGAGTTCTCCAGAGAGAAGTTGCAAATTCTTGCTGGAGAAATTTTAGCCAGCAAGAATTTGCAATCACGAAAAACATATGATTGTGGCACATGGTTGCATTTTTATCTACGATAATTTGTAATTTATAAACACGAACGATTTGCTTATGAAAAAAGGAAGTAAATACTTGTTGATATAATTCATTTAGATAATTCCAATGATTTGAACTTAATTCGGCTGAAGAAAATTTTATTCGCAATCGGAATGCAATTGCAAACAGAGTCGAATTAAGAAACCCGACAGCTAGTACAATAAAGAATTTGAATTGTATATTAAAGAGTGTCAAAACAACATGAAATATACATGTATATCCTGTCTGTCTGAAATAATTTTAAAAATTCTATAAAAATTTATTATGTTTGAAATGCAACCGTGGACACCACCTGGCAGGCAAACTTGCGAATTCCTGCAAATTTGCGTTCGTGCAGAAATTTGCAAGTTTCTCAACATGATAGAGAATTTTTGCTTACTCTCTGATATTTTGAATGTTGGATAATTCTTGCTGGATTTTCGACGAACAAACCTATTGCCTTGTTGCATTTGGCTGCACTCACCTATGAAATGTCAGTTAATTATAGTGTGAAATTTCTCAAAATTGTTTTTGTACAATTTTACAATAGCCGTTTTCTTTTTGTGCTATAAATATATATGTGCATGTGAGCAAAATTGTCTGATGCAATGTAAAGCTTAAGCTGTGCAGCCCTTGTCTGATTTTAAAGCTATTGTTTGCATGCAATGTGTTGCCTGTTTGAAGCTAAAAGGGAACAGTCTTTTCAAAGTCAATTATGTTTGAATGCGTGCCTAAGGAGTTCCATTTCGTATGTTTTTTAGTATTGTGTTAAAACTTTTTATGAGAATTTGTACTATAGTTGATAATTATCCTTTTTACTTAATATTTGATTAAAAATTCAATTGTCCATATGAAAATGCAGTTAAGATACTTCCACAATTTAAGTTTGTTTATATGGTGTTTACATGAGGCGATTTTTCAGGCAACTTTAGAGGCGATTAGTTGAATCAAAAGTTGGCTGCACCCCAACTTCAATGGAAGCGATTAGTTGAAAGGCCGTTCACACCAGGCGATATTTGCTTTCAGCTAAAATTTGTCTATAAAATCGCCTCATGTAAACACCGTATAACAACCAAAAGTTTGTATGGAGCACGTCATTGCCTCAGCACTGCTTCGTGGGAGTAAACGAGCACTAAAGATGTGACTGTGCGTGGTTAAGCCACCTACATGCAACGCTACTTAAAAAGTTATGCCTCCATTTAGCAGCTTACTATGTTGCCTGCAACGGTAGGTAAATTTATTAAATTAAAACTAGTTTATTCTATGATTTGTTTTCAATAAACTTATTCGAAAATCCTCTTCATTCTAGTATGTTCTTTCGTAATTAAAACTCATTGTAGGCACGCGTCCATTTTTAAATTAAATTTTCTTTATAAATCTGGTCAAGAAAAGTTTCTATGAATTATATTGATAAATACCGAAGTTAAACACGGAAGTTACTAAGAAATACGGTTAAATAGCAGAATGCAGAAACCCGACCAAATGAAATTAACAATAATTTGTGAAACGACAGATGAGCCTTTCCATATATTAACAATTTAGCCAATAAGAGTTTATTTTAACAAATATTACGTCAGTATATTTAAACCAATATGTAAATTATACATAGTCGACAAACAACCAACCTAGGCGATGGTTTAGCAGAACAACCGCGAGATATTTATACGCACATGTACATATACATAAATGTACAAAATATAAAAGCGGTAATCGATTGAAAGCCAAGCTAAAATTTTTGAGCGACCAAGAAATGAGACTGGATTTTAAATTTCTTGCTGTTTTTGGCTATTTTGCTTCCGCTAGACGGGCTTAGGCAAAAAGTAAACTGGAATTCGGTACATTAAAGCTACTATGAATGGTTGTCACATTACTGCACGAGTCATCTATGAATTACATATTTGGCTATGATGAATCCGCATACCTCGCATGTACCATATCAAAATCGAATATGTATTCCTTTTAATAAATAAAAATGATTGATAAAAAGCGTCCAATCAACCACATTTAAATAATTTCTCCCGGTATACACATTCTTATACATTCACGTTGCAGTTAATTATGAAATCACGGGTAAATGGGTGAAATAATTTGCAAAATCATGAGTGTACCACCTGCTGGTTGGGTGCCTCATTGAAAATATCGCCTCCCCCAAAACTGTACAAGCTACCTTCGTATAACAACAAAGTCTGTTGGTCGCCCACCCCCACCCGCTTGCCTGTATGAAGAAACAGCCACAACAACAAATTCTTCACTACCTTCAATTTCCTAGGATTTTTCCTCAAACGACATTCCATACAAATTTTCAGTTTTTCTTCAGATTGGGAACGCTAAATTTTCAACTTACCTGTACAATTTCTGCTACTTGTGTTAGCTTCCTGCTACCAGCGTTTATTTTATGCTTTTCCTTTGTTTTTCTGCACTTATTTTTTCTGGTATTCGATTTTTTTCCTCCAAAATTTTGGTTACCTTTCACGCACTCGACAAATTTCTCAATGAAAACTATGTTTTCTCGAAATGTTTTATTAAATTTTCTTTCAGAAACAATAATTTAAAAAACAGAGCAGATAAAAATTCCTTTATGGTACTTTTCAGAATATATTTAGCAATGCGATTTTCACAAAATCTCTTCCCGTCAACGTGTGGTTTGCGCGGCTTTTCGCGGTAATCTGCTCTGCGGCAAATAGCAAACTTGTTGTTGTGGAAAGAGAAAAAGTTTGTGCAAGAGCAAGAGGAAAGGTGCTGTGGCAGCTTCTATCAGGCGGCTTCTAACAACTTCGGTTATTGGGATTTTTTCCTGAACAAGGTAGGGATATTTGTCAAAAAATGAGTCACAATAGTAAACCTTATTGTGCTTGATTGCTAATTTGAATTTTTAGTGGTGGCCAGATTCGAACTAAAAGTGGCTAAAATTGGCTAAAAATTTTGCTTTTGGCTAAAAACTATATTTCAGTACATACATACCGGTATCGGTCTAAAAATGTTTTAAAAAATATCTTTGGAAAATATTTAAAATAAGCATAGAAATACTAAAAATTTGTGTTCGTGTTTTCTTGTACATTTTTTCAAGCGAGATCAAAATCATACTCGGCAACGGCATTGAATATGGAGCGCTTCTCAACGAGGAAAAGTAATGATACATATATTGCTGAAGTGAGTTAGGAGTTTCATACTTTTTTCAGATGGATGATGGAAAGATTTTTAATTTTGATCATTTACCGCCCTATTCCCACAACAATGACAAAATTCATCGTATGACTATTGTCACAATTATTGCGCCTAAAACACAATATGTATAAACATTGGAGTTGTTTCTCCCTTGTCGCGTTCTCAGTAGGTCATAACAACAACACTGACAATTGTCACCATACGAGAGTTTAAAATAAATTTGCGGCATAGTATTAGGCGCAGTAGTAAAGGTAATAGTCAGCCGCTGAGTTTTGTCAGTCTTGTGGGAATAGGGCGGTAAATGTGGCTAAAAAAGAGGCTGGTGGCAAAAATAAATTTTGGTGACAAAAAAAGGCGGTGGCTATATCCAATCACTAAATGGTTAAAACGGCAACACTGGTTGGCTATCTCGGAACGTTCACAATAGATAACTTAAAACATTCAATGGCTCTCAAACTGATTTTTTGCATTAACCGCCCGTCTTCACATGCTTACAAATTTCGCATGCGTTCTGCTCTTTTCTCTAGCAAGCGAGAGAGTTTTGTTTACTGGGCATTTGACAGCATACTTTTTCATTTGTTAAATATCGCCAAAAAAGAAGGTTCGAGCTTTTGAGGCCAGCGAGATTTTCCAGCACGTGAAGACAGCCGGTTAGATGCCAAAACAGCAGTTTCGGTGCCAGTGTTATAGTATAATCCAAAAACGTCGCAAAAAACAAACTTATGGAATATTTTTATGTACATACATACGTATACATATATGTATATGTAGTTGCAAGTACATACGTTTGTATGTATGTATGTATGTATATAATTTTACGGTAATTACCCAGCCAGCAGAGAAACGTAAACTTTTCCGACAGTGCAATCTAGTACAATTTTCCGTATCCGGAAACGAATAGAAAACTAGTCCTCTTTTTCATTACTTTACGTATCACAAAACAAGTGTGGTTTTTGTATTCGGAAACGAATGAAAACGACTACAGTTATCATTGATTTTCGTATCCAGAAAACGTTCGAAGCGTTCGAAAAAGATGATTGTATTTGACAGCAATAATTTTATTTTATTTGTTCAAGCTGAACATTTGAAAGCATATATGCGTAGTCGGCAGTGGCTGAGCGTGTAGAAGAGCGTGCCGCTATTTGTTAGTCCCCTTTCAGACACGTCAAGTCTTGAAAGCAATTTTTTTCGCATTCTCTTTTTTGTTTTCTATTTGCTTCCACACGCGTCAACTTTAATTGAATTCAAGTCCTTGGTTCTTAAATGGGAAGCAACGAAAAGATCAAAAGAGACAAGAAAACTTGAAACGAATTGACGGTACGGAGGTATCTGTACTCTTCCCCTCTCTTCCCACCTCCTTCGCCAACGAACGAGCAGACTTGAAAGCAAGTCTGAAAGGGGACTTAGCTTCCAGAAGGTGCCGGGTTTCGAATTCCGTCAGGTGCTTCCTTAATTTTATTTTATTTGTTTTGAACCATGAAAAAATATCTGTGTCAAGTGCAGAAGGAAAGCGTGTTGAAGGAAAAGTTCCGTTCCGTATCCATTTCACAAACAATTTTCGGTACTTGTCTGTACATACGTTTCTGCCGCCAAAGAACGTAAATCTATAAGAACAGACAACACGTTATAATTGTAACGAGTGGGAACATGTACGTACAAGTATGTACGTTTCTGCGGAACACTTTAGTGGGAAAACGGATCGTAACAGTATCCGAAAATAGAATCGGTAAACGGACAAAAATCCGCACTTCATCCACTTTTTTTCCTTTCCGGATCGATTTTCAGATTTTTTGCTGGCTGGGTATGCACACATACATACAGACAGATGTATGAATGTATATATGAGCAATATTAATTTCAATTATGCATATTTCGACGAAATCAAAAGTAAAATAAAATATATGCCTTAACTTTCAATTAAGATTCCTCACAATCGTCATCCACTTACCCGCTAATAGAGTTATGGAATTTCTGGATTTACTTGGCGCGGTTTTTATGACTACACGTTGCTTCGTTTCTGCCACAACTATGTTTCTCGTGTATGTGTGCGTTTCCTACTAACTAAGTTCCCTAATTTTTGTTACAACAGTGTAAATCGAAGACGATTTTTTGTTGCGATTTTAATTTAATTTCGTACTTTATTCATTCACATTTAAATCGTTTTTCTTTGCTTTTATCACAAATTAAATTGGCGGTTGAAAAAGTTGATTACGCTGATAGCCACTGCTTCAACTCCTGCAACTGCGGTATCTGGAATTTTAACTGTTTATAAATCGATAAAACAGCTTACAACTCGCGTGCACTCAATCGGCAACTCTCTTGTAGTGGTGTAGGAGAAGCTGGGTGAGAGGGGCTGGCTGTCATAAGCAGGAATCTGTTGCCCGGTATAAATATCCCTAATCGGTTTTTACGTCGTACGTCGTACTTAACCCTAGAATAATGAGATACGTAAATTTTACGTAAACGCTGAATATAAATAACCGTTAATTTTTTTTGTCACGCTCTATCGCTATAGGGTCCGTCCACAATATGCATTGTTGAAAGCGTGTTCGATAACATAATGTGCATTTTTTTACGAATGAAAATATATTGTATTTTTACTAAATAAACTCAATAGCTATAATACTTACCATATACAAATATACCCATATAACCATAAAATAACCGTATCTTATGATTAACGTACACGAAAACATCTTTTGATTCTAGCGTTAACCCTACTTTTATATCGTAGAATTGTCGTTAGAGGGCACCTTTGCGCGAAAATGAAGCATGCGCTCTTCAAATTTATCGATGACAAGGCACTTGCCAGATTTGTAGTGTTGTTAAGCGTTGGCATTTTCTTATCTTATTCAGTAGCTTCGTTTCTTTATAACCCAGCGCCAAAGGAACGTCCAACTGGGTTAAAATTTGCATTTAGCTATATACATAAGCAACCTTAGTACTTTATTAACAACACTTCGCGGCAAATCGTATATTTTTTAACCGACCTCTGGCTGAACTCGCATAAATAGCCGAGTTTGTGTTGTTGCTTTGCATGTATTCCGGTAAACAGTGTTCACATGATGCGATTTTGCAGGAAAAAGTTGGCTGCTCCCCAACTTCTAGACTACCTGTTAAAGATAACCGGGGCTTTGACTGGCTGTCAAATTTGTCGCTAATAGTATCACCTATAATAAAGCATTTGCAAACTTACCAAACCGACGCGCAGCTACACAAAATGGAGAAGTTATGAATAAAATCGGTTGTGCTGGAGATGTTAAACTATCGATAGTCAACTAGTAGTATCGATAGTTTAAGCATTTTAGAGAAAAACTATCACTACTCATCGATAAAGGTAAAAACATAAAACTATCGATAGTTTGATACCTCGAATACGGCCTTCCCACGGCACCGCGAATTACTTTGTTCGCTCCTCCAATTACGATCACGAATTACCTCATTCCCACGAGCATATTCTTAATTCGATTTGTCAGTTCTCTATCACTGTTTATTTTTGTCTTCGCTACAAAATTTATGCAAAATGTAAGTTATTACTAAAAATTTATAAATTTCTGTATTAAATTGGTGCTATACACGTTTATTAACTTAACTTTTAGTGCTCAGAAAATGTGCCATTTGGTTTGTGAACTGGTTTCGACAAATTTCGGATTAAAGTTAGAGACGGAAGTGATTTGTTCGTAATTGGATCTGCATTACCAACAAATGAGGAAATTCGCGCTCAAAATTTAATATGGCGAATTACGTAATTTGAAGGGTAATTGAAGTGCGAATTGCGAATGAGAGAGAAAAGTACGTAATTGGGGTGCCGTGGGAAAACTGTATAAGACCTATTGTTTTCAGCTGCAGATATTTTTCCACTGTACCACTGTGCAAACTTACCGCAATGTGCATATACATACATGTATACGTATGCCCTTCGCTGTAGACTGGTTGTAGGGTTTCTCACAGTATAGTTTACTCAGTATACACATTTTCAATTCCACATACTGTGTTTTTCCACTTTATTCAATTTCATCCGCTTAACATATACACACATACCTATTTAAGTATGTAATGCAGATACCCACATTTACCAAATATGTGCGAGAATTACATTTTTTGTACATACGCACACCCTGTTTTCGATTGCTATCAGCAGAGAATTCATTAAAACGCTGTGCATTCGTAGCTAGTATGAATACACTTGACTGTCGAGTGATTTTTATCGTTTACTGTATGTAAATAACTTAGGCGACTGTAGAAAATACAGATGTTCGCCTTCGAAATTCATCCCTACATACATACATATGTACATACATACGTAGCTGCTGGCGTGCAATTTCAAAACTTCATTGGCTATTTATACAGTGGTGTGTATTTTTCCCCACTCACATTTCTGTTATTCACCGTATATAAGCGGTCATATATGTAGAGAACTGCGCTTGTGTGTCGCAGCGCTCACTTCGTTTCGATTCGTGCACATTCGTTCGCCTTTATCGTCTTGCTTTTATATTCACACCGTATACACATACCGAACCAACTGGGTCTATGTAGGTAGTCTAGCCATACGAATTTCAATGAAAACTAATGAACAATTATTCTTGTTTCCGTTTCTACAGCAGTGTACCTATGTGCATTTCCATTTATCGTTCGTTAGTCATTTGAAATTTATATTAGTCACCGTATGACTTGGCAAAAGGTTTGTTACTTAAGTAAATTTTGCCATACGTATGACGGTATGAATATTTTGGGCCTGTTCTGCGGCGTTTAGATTCAATATTTTCCATCAAGCATACAAACCCGTCAGAAACTTTTTATCACGTACAAAAACCATTATTTTAATAAACGAATGTATGTATGTGCGCTGTAGCTACTCTAGCGGCTAGTTAGGAAAATCGTGGTATAATTATTAGTTGCAAGCGATTATATTTAATATAGTGAGTATCGGGTTAACGATAATAATGATGGAAACCACTTTGTGTATACCCACGTACATATGTATGTACGTATATGTATGAAATCGAGTGATTTTATTTCTGTGTGAATACCCTCGAAAATATCGATTTTAATTATTGAAAGGCTGATGTACTCATTCAAAGAACAGGGGTCTACTCAGTATTGCGGTTTGAAAGGCTACACGGACTAATACAAATTTATATTTATTTTTATTTTTTTTTATGTAGCTCTGAGATAAAAGATCTTTTTCAAGCCTGTTTCCAGGTTAGCACTCTTTTTTAAATATGGTGCTACAAAAACAAACATATGTATAACAAATTCAAAAATATGGTGTTTGGAAGTTTTAATTATATTTCTATTGATTTAAATTAATACGGCGCTCATTCGAGGACCACCGAATGGGTCCCAATACAAAACCCCGTACCTACCCGATATAATGTTTCTTTTGTTTTTTAATTATTTTCAACTATGTTTGTTTTAGTTCTTAAACAAACATTTGCGCAAAAATAATATTCATAGCTCTATTATTATTATTATGATTATCGCCATTATTATTGCCTCTTCATGGATTTATAGTGTCTATTAACCCAGTGCCCGAAACTTTAGCATTGGGCCTAAATCTTTGGATTTCACTACAGCCTCAGCTCTGCTCTTAACTAAACTCTACATGAGTTATACTTAGGCGTTTTTTTTTAATAGTGAAATATATAGAGCTCAAAACACTTACGTTTTCCTTGGGTGGGACCCAAACCAGCGCACGCGAGGTTTTACGTGTTTTCACCGTACGCCAATCCCAGGTGAATGGTAGTCAAAAGGCTTTCGCCACTTACGTGAACTTACGTGCCGGAGTCGAAATATTAGTAAATCAACCACGAAAACACAGCAACACGTGTAAATTTGGCAGCTGTCAAGGTACAGATGAGAAACTTTGAAGGGGTATTTCCTGTGGTGGCTGAGTTTTCGTTACCAGATTGCTGTTTCATACCGAAAATGTTATGGTCGCATGTACCCTAAAGCAGGAGCAACACCGGTCTCCGTACTGGAGCTATTCAAGAACACATCTCAAGTACACTTTGTCATCACTCTTTCCATCTATTTATTAGAATTTTTAGCTCGAGAAGCCCTTCACACTCCTTTCTTTTTGCCCCTCTTTTCATCCAGTTGAAAAGATGTACATCCCCTGTCCTATTTCACCAGTATCGCTCAATTCTGACTGCTCAATGCAACAGACTGCAGTTAGATGCAAGCTTTTATTAGCAAATAGGTGCCCACGAATGATGCAAGCATACATATGTATGTATGTATGTATGTGGAGCTATTTTGCAGGACATCCAACTATTGAGTGAAAAGGGTTCCAACATTCCAGACACATACATATGTATGTATGCGTACGTGTATGTATGTAGGTTGTCAAAGTTCAAAGAGTTAATTATCCGACCGGTATGTGATCTATCCATTGAATGCTGTTTTTTTTTTTATCCAAAGCGCGACGACGTTAACGCACTTTATGCATTTCCGTTTCAAAGTGTTTCACCGGTCAACGCTTCACAGGAACTTAGCATACAAGCACATTAATCGAAGCAATGCACCGACTAAAGTTAGTGCAGCTGTCAGAGTAAAGCAACAAAGATATAAGGCGTTTTAAAAGAAGACGTAAATAAGAAATTATTTAACAAAGAAAAACTCACAACTTAGAAGTGGATAAATAGGTGCTAAAGCAAATACGATTTGTGTTTTTCGCTGTTATCAAGCAAGTTTAATCGCATGCCACACAAATACGCCAATAACACTCATGGGACCGAGCCGGCATGTTATGACCCACTTTGTAAACAACAAAATTGGCGCCAATCGGTCAAAATGTGCGAGCAAATAAACAAAAGATTATAAACTAAAAAAAGATGAGAAAAAATGCCAACCGCTGATTGCTTTCATCCAACTCATTTGGATAAATATCTGTATGGGTGGTGGGATGCACGCAACAGGGGGCGGCGGTTCAGGTGTTACTGTTTATTTTGTTTTGATTGCGGTTTTAGGTGAATTTCTTGACGATTTCGCACCACCACCACAGAAGGAAAAATACTCACACACAAAAAAAAACACCGTGGATATGCATAGCGGCGAAAATCAGCTGTGGCGGCTAACAAAGTGTTCCACAGCCTTTGTTTTGGGTTTGATTTGTTTTTGTACGTTCCTTTTAAAGTACTTTGTGTACCATACTAAACAGCAACATCAATAAACAAATAAAATGCTAAGGAGTAAGCAAAGCTAATAAGAATTTAAGGCAAAATAGGCAAAGGCAATATGCCGGCAAACTTTGTTAAAATGTCTGGCACTTTTCCGGTCAACGCATAATTTGATTGTGTATAGTTTGTAATTACCCCATCATCATATTACAACTAATCGTTAATTGTGCAAATACATACATACATATGTATAGCTGAAAAACTTTTCGAAGTTTTTTTCTGTGAAATGACCGATATTTTTAAGCAGAAATTAATTATAGAAGCAAAAACTAATACCACGCCACCATTAAAGCCCAATAGTTGCTGCCACCCCAGCTGGCGGTGGCGCATATTAAGACGAGTCGCAATGAATTGTCAAGTGTAATCGTAAACTGCAGGCGTTCTACATATACTACATATTATAAGCAGGGTGTCCAAATTGTTTTAAAAGAAGCGTAATTTCTTAAAAAAAAACTCAAAATCGTAATTTTTTTTTATAAAAATTCTTGAAATCGATTTGAAAATATTTTATTTTAACAATTAAATATTGTTAAGGAATAGTTTTAAAAACCTAAAAAGGTTATAATACCTTCATGATAATAATAAATTAGACAAATAACTGATTAACAATTTTACGTATACTTTTAAAACATATTTGCATCAACACATTTTGCAATAGGACTGCACAACTAATAAATTCATTATAACCCATATTGATCGATTAAAAATAAAGAACAAAGCTATAATACTATGAGATCAGATATATCCACTATTTCCTCAAAGTTATCTATAGTGTCTGAATCATTTACTTTTGTATTGTTGTCATATCGAACGTTTAATAATATATGTACATAGAGATGTAACTCGAAATTTAAGTTTTTGAAGATTTCATCATACAATTGATATGCTTGATTAGTAGAATACATTCTGCCTAACAGATGACTAAAATAGAGAAGATAAGTGTACATATTTCCATCTGTATTTTGGTATACCAACTGTATGAGTTGATCAAACTTTGATTTCGTTTTCCCACGAAATTGAAATTTTGAAATAAAAAGGTAGTGCCCAAAAAATTTATTTTAAGGAAGAAAATCGCGATTTCCTAAATTTTTACGCGCAAACATCCAAAAAATCGCCAATTTGACACTAAATCGTCCAATCTGGACACTCTGATTGCAAGCACAAAAACAGATATTAAAAATAAAAGGAAACGAAAATGAAAACACGAAAACAGCTTTAACCCACAGTGTACGGCAAGCGAACGTTGACGCAAATAACTGCCTGTATCAAATTCAAAACGTTCGCGCTGTTGGCATTTTTTAATGCCGTCGCACAGTGGAAATAAAACGAATGTTAGTCGTTATTTATATCATTGAAGATAAAGCCTGATATATGTACAGTATTCCCCGCTAAATTGCCCTTCAAAATTGCCCAATTTTTTGTTCAATTAAGTGGGGAATCAATTAGTACTATCGTCGTGTTTTAAAATTAAATAATTTATAAATTACTTTGTAAATTAAAGAGATTGTATATATATATATATTTTTTTTTTATTTGTGTGCATCAAAAAGAACTTCTGATAACAATACAAAAAACTTATTAATTTATGCGTCTGAGTAATATATATTTATATACATACCCTTGCATCGTCTTGAATAGCGACAGGCAAAATCTAAATTTATTTTTTATATAGCAAAATTAAATTCGGATTGTGTTTGTCCCTTTTGAAGTGCAAAGAAGTGGAATTGACTATAAAAATACATTTATAATACTACAAAGCAAACAAAATAAAAGATATTCATTCAAATTGACAATTATAAAAGTTCAACTGAGATCAAATACGGAGGCGCATATCAAAACCCGGATAAAGGAAATTATTAACATTTTATCATATTATAAGAGAACGAATAAAGTACTGGTCAAAATAATAGCACCACAACATTTTTAGCAGTTTTGACTACTTGTTTGTTTATTTAGTGTATACTATTTTTTTATAAAAGTTGTACAAAACACAAAAAACTACAAAATAATTAAAAATTCTAGCTTTTTAATTCGAATTTCTATAAAAATTTTGTGTAAGCAGTTTTATAGCTTATTAAATTTTACTATAACTCAGTGTAAGCTTATAGTTGCTAAACATCCCAATAACTTCCAATTTTTTTTGCCGACTCTGTTGTGAATTTACTTGCATAAAAAAAAAATTATGTAATGTGTAGAGATGTAAAGAAGAGACATTGTGAAGTCTTGCTAAAACCGACATCGATAGTTTCAAAAACTATCGATAGTGGCGACAGTTTTTATCGATATTTCCATCGATAGTATCCCAGCTCTATATTAGACTAAATTGCACGACTCTAAAACATAGACATTACCTACTGTCGTGCTGAAGTACATAAGTAGACGACGAAAGTTGTCGAGAACTCTTCCATGGGTAGCGAAAGAAGACGCCCTTCAATTTGTGCCACTCCATGCAAAAAAGAAAGGATTGTAGAGTGGAAGGCCTCTTGACTCTCAAGATGGCCTTTCGGAAGGGCTTTTAATTCCTGAAATTGTCTACTGGGTAGCTTTAAATCTTTGTTGAAAAAGTTACTTCCTTTTCAAATGTTTGCATGATAATTTTCTAAAATTTCCAGATAAATATTTTATGTACATAAAATTGAATATGAACAACTTCTCCATTATCTTATCGAATATTTATTTTCAACAGCTTATGCCCATAGTACCAGTTACGTGCGCAAAACCCGACGACCAAATTGCCTGCTTGCTTGCCATGAACAAAGTTGAAAAAATTCCATATCGTATAGCAACAAAAATTTCAACTGAGCTAACAACAATATGCATATGTATGTATATAGCAACATTGAAGCGAAGGAACACACAAAAAGGGGGAGAAAAATGAACGGATAAGCAAGAAATGGGGGAAAATAAATCAACTGTACAGGGTCTAAAAATTCACATCTGCACACGTATATGTACATACTGCACTCGTCGGCCTTATATATTTGCGCTAAGTGGTATAATACAATTGGTTAGCTTAAATTTAACCTTTAAGAATGTTTAAACTAAATTGCGCTAACATTTTTAAATGTGAAAATGTAATGCTCTTGGCCAACGTACTATTCTTCTCAGCCCCCTTTCAACATAACAAACCAGTTCATTGGTACAAAAGTCGCTGACACACCCTGTAGCGAGTAATTTCGAAATGATTTGAACTTAAATGTATATAGCACACAAGCAGGCAATGAAGCACACTGTCGACAGGCAAGCAATCAACAACGGGTATTATAGATAGCCCGTGCAAACGAGCTATGTATTGGGTAGCAGATAAGTGGCGACTGTGAGCGTGTAAGCGAGAAAGCATTATGCAGAAGTGCTCTGAAGTAAATAGACGGAAGGTAAGGAGGAGACGAAACGATACATCTTCGACGTTTGCCAAACGAGTGACGATAGTTGAAGTAGAAGGTTGTAAAATGACATTTCAGCCGTTTCGGTGATCAAAGAAAATTGATTAACGCGCCAAAAGTAGGCAAAAACTCAAATTAAGTGCAAAGAAACGTCAGCGCCAAAGTGCAACACTGCACCCAAGTGTCAAATTCGAAGCAGATCAAAGACAAAAACAAGTACAAATTTACGCTGAAGGCCAAAAACCCTTCTTATTATGTATGTATTTATGAAGTGTAGAGAAATACCAGCGGTATTTGAAAAAAATATATATTTAATAGAGAACATATTGTATAAAAAAAGAGAAATTCGAATACAGTCGCAAGCAACTTTTATATACCTCAAGCATATATGTGCATAAGTGTTCGAAATTCAGTGGAAGTGGCTTGAAATATAGAAAAACAGGTACAAGGCAAAGCGTAGAGGCAAACGATAGCAACAACAAAAGCGAACAGCAATAACACAGGGTTGTATGGGTGCATATATAAAGTAAAATAAAAAAGTTCACCACAACCGCAACATACGCCCCGCAAATGTGGTAGACAGGGAGAGCACGATCTATATACAATACTTGCATTGTGTGTGTGCGTCATCTCGCTTTGGCCTTGTTTGACAGTTCACTGTGTTCAACATGGGCACAGTCGCCTCTGTGGAATTTTGCTGCGCGTTGAGTGTAGATTTTAATTTGAGCAGAGCTGGTTAGGAAATATTCGTCAACGGTGAAAAATGTTTTCAATTTGATATAAAATTACAAAAAAATACAGTTTTCGCTACAAAGAAAAAGCAATAAATGTTATGCAGTGGATAAAAATTTGGTTTTTATGAAAAATATCTACAAGTAACAAAGGTAAATGTAAAAGTCGCTGGGGGAAAGGAATCACATAAGGAGATATAAATACACAAAACCTATCTGGAGCTTGTGTATGTGTCAAAACTTTAATTGAAAACGCCACGAGAAGTGACGATTTAATTGTCAATATCAGTTCTAAAGGAAAAATTTGTATAATTGAACGAAATTTTCTCAATACGTGTAAAAATTTAATTTCAAGCAGAGACAAAAGGCAACCAACTACAACTAAAGAAAAATAGTGACAACGAAGTGAGAAGTGTCAAAGGAAAAAAAACTAAAGTAAATAAAGAGTTGGTGAAGGAATACGAAGAAAAAAGGCGTAGGAAAGCTGTAAAAATAGTGCTGCAAAGTAAAATAAAAAGGGAATCATATACATACATACATACTTGCATGGGCTGTATGCATCGAATCCATAGTGTGGTTTTCTCTTTTTCACGTATTGCGCACAGTAGATAATGTGCGAATGTTCCAGCTGTCAAGTAATAAATGCAGCAACAAATTACATACGGACGGAAACCCTGAAGCCAGCAGCAAAAACAACAAACGTTTGCAAACGTCAAGCTGATTTTTGCGTTAATCGGAAGCAGCAACCAGAACAACAGCGGTGGGTACAAAACGAGTACGAGTGGTATGGGCAAAATCACTCGACTCGTAGCCAATTTCACCATAGATATAGTTGTTACAACAACAATTCACAGGAAACAAGAAATGTCGAAATGTTGCAACATGAACAACGTCCAATATCTGATATGCACGAATTAACATTCCCAACAAATTATAAACAAACCATAAATGATTTAATGAAAGCTCAAATTAACAACAACAATTCAACAACAAAAACGCCGATGATGAGATCCCCAATACTTGACTCTAGTAATTCTCATCACCAACAATTGCATCAGCAGGGAGCCAATGCAACAAACTGCATGAATGACACAATGTCCTCGGTGGCGTCAAATCCTATATCAACAACATCGCCACAAGGTGTGGGTGGTGGTTTTTACGGTAGCCACACTCCACCTTCAACCATCGGGGTCAATTTGCGCGTCACAGGCCAATGTAGTCAAGGTGGTCGCAAATATATGGAGGATTATTTTTCGGTTGCCTATCAACAATCGGAGAATGCCAAAGATCTGGAATATGCTTTTATTGGTATTTATGATGGACATGGCGGGGCGGAGGCGGCTACATTTGCCAAAGAGCATCTCATGATGCAGATAATAAATCAGAAAGCGTTCTGGTCAGATTCGGATCATGATGTATTACGTGCAATACGCGAGGGATACATTGCCACACACTATGCTATGTGGCGTGATCAAGGTATGTGGACAAAATTTAAATTTACATTGAATATTAAATATTGACACTATCTTTAGCATCTGCTTTAAAATATTAGGTTGAACGGTAACGGTTAGAATCCCTGACCTTTTCTTGACTTGGCAAAACTACATTTCAGAAATAGCTGCATTTAGTCTAAATTGTATAATAGGTGCGCATGGGTTCGCTATTTGAGGGGTACACATACGTTAACTCGACTGTCTGAGCTACATATGTACAAACGTTACCTGAAGGAGTTGGGTTTTATATATATCCGATTACTGCCTATTCAGATATTTGTGGGGCATATCTTCTGCTGTTATCAAATACTGTAAACCCATTTAACAACGAGTTCAGCTTGCATTACTTCAAAAGTCCCTTCACACCTTTCATCAAAATTTGGAATGCCAGCTCCACAACTCGGCGCAGTTTTAAGCCATCATTTAAATCTGCATTTGCTTTTGGGTCGTAATTCAGTTCCGGGGAGACTAAAAGTATTATGTACTTCGTTTGCTGTTGTTGTTATTGTTGTAGCAGCTACTTCGTTTGTGCTTTTGATCGCCAGGCGCCTTGTTTTTTGTTTATTCAAGGTTTATGTCTCCATCTCCATCTTACACTCATTTCTTATAGTATTTACATCGTCTAGAGAAAGGCTTATGAAAAGCTGAAAAATGACTTCATTTCTTTCCTTCGTACTTAATTGGGCAATTCACAAGGTGTTGTGAAGTTATATTTTCCTAACAAAAGTTGTGTTAAAACACGACGGTTGTGAACACCTGTTACGATTATTTATTATATCTCAGCACTTAACCTCACATAACACCGAATAAACATAGGTTGCAGAGTTGTATCGTCATGTGTTATTTTTCTTCACAAAACAATAACAACATTTTTACAACTGTCATGAAATATCATGACTTCACGACAAACACGACAAATACGACACCTTGTGAATTGCCCAAATTTCTTATTTTGAAATGGGGTTACTTGAAAAAGCTGAAACAGGAGACGTTAAGTAATGAGAAAGCTCATCGTTTCTGGGCAGTGCTTCCGCAAATCATTTCATTTATTCGATACTACTTTTGCTCTCCTCTTTCGTGCGCTCTTTTAGTTTTAACCCTAGAAAAAATCGAGTGGGACACATTTTGAATCGTTTTTTTTTTTTCAAAAACTAAAACAGAACTATTTTGAGTTGATATTTTCCAAATTTAGCAATACTTGCACTTTGTAATCGATACCCATGAAGTACTGTAAACGCGTATCTAAGTACAAAAAATACTCAGTACTTGGTTGAGTTCCTCGAGTATATACTTCTAAGTACTGGTGTCGGAACAGCACTACGTATAACGACTTGGTATATTTTTTTTATGTAAATTAAATTGATTTGGTTAACTATAGTTCACAAAATACTTTTTAATTCTACTAAATGCCTTTTCCACCAATGCATGTATTATACATATTCCAAGTTCACATTCATTTTGACCATATAACTTACAAACGCTGTATGTGAACACAGTAAATAACCTTAATTTGTACGAAACTTAAAATAAATTTCCCCCATTCGTTTAATAAATATACGGTGCGAGAAAGAAAAATGTAGTAGGAAAGCAAATCCGTAGTGGAATATTCCCTCACATACAGTCAAACCATAGAAAATGTGTGAAATCGAGAAACTGCTGAAGTAAAATAAAGATAAAGTGTAAAGATGTGGTAGCAGTAGCTAGCGAGACAACACTGGCGTTCACATATAAGTACGAATTTGCCCGAAACGGGAGCGACTCGTATATCGACAAAAATTTTGTTGTGTATGTATTCATATGAATACCGAGCACTGTAGCTCTGGTGATTTCACCTATGCATATATATATAAAAAATGTTTTTCTTGCTGCCCTTGTTGCAGTGTGTCGAAACGAGTAAAATAGTGGTGTGTTTTTATGTGTATACTATGTAATGGTATGTACAAACATGTTTTTGTAGTATTTACCTTGCGTGAGACATATGCATGTATGCACGCGTCTACTTGTAAATGGTAGAATGGTGGCAATATACAGTGTTGCCTATCTCATGCTCCATGGGAGTGGTGGTTTATTATACATACCAGGCAGATATTGAAGTGGTGTGTGGGTATTACATAGCTGAAAATAAATGCCGTAATATATTAGGTTTAAGTGAAATCCCTAGGGTTTTAAAATGTTTCGTAAGTTTTCTTTTTAATTTAAAGTATACGAAATCCGGGTGGATGAACAGAACTTATGTTTTTATATACAGACTGTATAAGGGAAAACATATATTAGATATTTGTAAGTTTTTTTTAGTAGTTTCGAACTGGTTTTGAAAATTTTTTGGGGTTTAAAAATTTTATCTCAAAATGTTGGTTTTGAAGTTTTTTACTCATAAAAATTGCTTGCCATCTGTGCACTGCTAATTTATATCGTGACAACCCAATTAAAACGTACAAGTAAAATACATTATGGAAACAGTTTATACATGTTGTACCAGATCGATAATTAAATTTACAACATGCATATAATGCACACCTTGTTTTGCCCTTCTTTCAAATGCAACTCTGCGATGTAGAAGTCACCTATTCCGTTTAAATTTACTCGCAACCATTCACCCGTGGCCTTAATACCCCACGCTTCTGTTAATTGTATTACTCACCTATCAATAAGCACTGGTGCGCATTTCATTGCGATTTTGACGTTTGAAATTGCACCCAAATATTTAAGCTGATGTCACATAAAACTTTTGCTTCGCTTTACGTGACAGATTCGCTTTGACAGATAAGATGAATTGTATGAAAATGCACAAAGCATGCCACATAAATCGTTGAAGCGGCAGCGCGAAGCGAAAAGATGGTCAACTCCCATCTTTTTGCGCGCTTTGACAATCAGCCGGTTTAATATTTATTTTGTTTCGTCCAAATTCGGGTTTTCATGCAGAAACATAAAACTTAATTACATTGCTGATAATTTTAAATCAAAATAATTAAAATCCACAGCAACTTTGATGAGTAAAAAAGCGGTACAACATTGTTTTCTTGGCGTTCATTGTGGCATACCTTTTGCGTCTGGCGCTTTGCTGGCAAAGTTATAAATGTCACGCAAAGCTACAAAGTTTTATCTGGCGTCAGCTTTACTTTGAGTTCACTTGCGTTGACTAAAATGTTTCATGCTATTTGTCACTCTTCCTCATTCCGCTAAGTTAATTATCTTTTTTTTGTCGCCTTCTGTTGTATTATTCTTTTCGCGACAACACTACTTACATAAGCAGATGTTAAACCACTTGTACTTTGATGTTTTGTTGATTGTGAAGTGCGGATGTAAACAAAAAAAAGAAAACCCTTTGTAATGGAATGTCAATGTACTTGTTGGTCAAAGGTGGAAATTGGGGGAATGTTTTTTTATCCTTTTTGTTTTGACAGCGTATTTCGTTGGGAAAAGCGAAAATTATGATACTTTTCAAGTTGGGCAATGGGCACAGTGTGGTAATTGCTATTTGAAAATTCTAATTGTATTGAAAGTATTCAATTTGCAAAATACGTAGTATAAATTATTATACATATCCATAATATTGGTATGTGTTATATGTTTGATTCACCTTTGCAGAAAATTGGCCAAAAACCGCTAATGGCTTGCTGAGCACAGCCGGTACAACTGCCACTATTGCTTTCATACGTCGTGAGAAGATTTACATTGGCCATGTTGGCGATTCAGGCATTGTACTCGGTTATCAGAATGAGGGTGAGAAATTCTGGCGTGCCAAACAGCTAACGGTGGATCATAAGCCCGAATCGGCAGAGGAACGAGCACGCATACAACGTTCTGGTGGCAAAGTTGTAGTAAAATCCGGTGTACCGCGCGTTGTTTGGAATCGTCCACGTAATGGTAAATTTACTAAAAAAAAACAAACCCTAAACATATGTATAAAACATCTAATTTGCTTTTTAATTTTAAAACAGCTGGCCACAGAGGTCCCATTCGTTCAAATACACCCGTTGATGAAGTTCCATTTTTGGCAGTAGCACGTAGTCTTGGAGATCTTTGGAGTTACAATTCCATGCGCAATGTATTTGTAGTTAGCCCGGACCCAGATGTGCAGGTCATAAAAATCAATTCAAAGACTTTTAGGTAAGTAATGAATATAAGTTAAGTTCCTATCAATGGAAACGAGCGCTTAATATGTTTGCGTTTCAAATTCGCACCCATTTGGAGTAGTTTTAATTTAATGAGTTCCCTCTATTTCCACTTCTAGATGCCTGATTTTTGGTACAGATGGTCTGTGGAATGTTGTAACACCACAAGAAGCAATTGATACTGTATACGAAAGAGAATGTATTAATGAGCGCCTTCAAGCGTTTGCTCATGCCGAAGGCGGCAGTCCAGAATGGACGAACCCAAGCAAGGGTTTAGTTGAGCGGGCTTTGAAGACATGGTCGGCGAAAAAGATGCGTGCTGATAATACTTCCGTTGTGACAGTAATACTTTATCCGCCCTGCAATGAAACCATAAATGCCAACTATATTGGCCCGAACGGGCTGCCGTATAACAGTTTACCAAACGGCAGTTGTGGCTTGGAGTATACCGAAGTATGCGCCGAAGTTGCGGCGACTGATTGCGGTACTACCTATGAACAGATAGCAGAAAAACACATAATGCCTGAAGCCTTCCGAGATTTCGACTACTTCCTCGATGAAGCGGCAATAAATGCGGCGCTGCATTCACGAAACGAAGAGAATAGCGAGACAAAATATTGTAATGAAGAATTGTCGTATTGGCATAATTGGAATTGGGACGAGCGTCAGTCCGAATGTGCTGGTGATTATAACCACCATTCGACTTTCTTAGGAGCGCATAGCGATGTTAGCATCTGTAGTAAGGAAATTTCAAGTGACGTTGGAAATGTTAATAATGCTCATAGCTTAATAGCATGTGATGGAGACGAAAATGCTGTGGATGGCGTACATAATAGTCCAGTAGGCGATGAAACAGCAAACACGCCAGCTGTACTAAAATATGCAACTTACAACGCTGACACTTCCTCAAATTCAAATGCGTCCAGCGATGTGAGCAATGTATTAGGCAACGCAGGCTTCATGACATTTGCTGAATCGTATAACTCATTTTTGAATGAACAAATGTCGCATGATAGCACAAGTAGCTCCAACTCAAACTCGAATTGTCAAATTATTAGTGGCACGAGTGAGATACTACAGGAACAACAGCTTTACCAGCAGCAATGCATGTCCGAGGAAGAGGGCTATTCATTGACAAAGTTGGAAACTCGACGCGAACAGCAGCGGTGCAGTGGCGGTGTGCAGACATTCAAAATTTTCCAAACCCATGACACCAGCGGTACAAGTTATGTGCCACAGCGGCGCGAGCCAAAGGAAACTCAAAGCAAACACGTACAAGGGCAGGTGCAGCGACAACACACAGCCACCCAGTCGACTTCTACGTCACAACTGACACTTGAAGAGGCGCGCGAATTGGAGGAAGCTCTAACCTGGGAGCCGGAATGCGCTACGCTTAGCAAGACAATGAATCGGTTTCTGGGTTACACAGCTGAGCCTCCAAAGCCACTTGAATTGAATTCGCTGCTACAGCAAGAGCGCGAAGAAGAGCGACAAGTAGCGATTGAGCGACTCGAAATGCAGCGCCAGTTGGCAGGTGCAACATTGCCTGTGCTTGCGACAGAGGCGGCGAGAGAGCACAGTGCTCATGACGCTGATCTGCTGCCAGTAGATCAAAATGGGCCAATAGAAGACCCTGAAGACGTATTAGTGGAGGAGTATATTGAGGAAGAAAACGAAAGTATCGAAGATCAGCAGCCTCAAGACACTAAGGCAGCATTAAAAGATACAAGAGTACAAATCAATGAAGTGTCGTCGAGCGTCGTCGAGAAGCCCCAAAGTGATAGCAGTGAGGGATTGTTGCCAGCACCGTCAGATATGTCCTCGACCACAGAGCAAGCACCAAAAGTCATTGAGAAAATAGAGAAGATTGAAATATTGCCACAGTTAATTGACCATGCGAAATTGACACGTCTGGAGCATCATCCATTAATGCGACACAAATCGCCGCCATTGTCACAGTACAAAAAGTCCAAGGGATCCTCAGCAACTACCTGTTCAGCCTCAAACTCCGTGACAACGACGAACAACGTAAGCAAACAAGCAAAAAGTACACCGTTTGACATCTCATCACGTCCCCTAAAGGCATATCCGGGCCGAACTTCGCTCAAGCGGTCGCAGACACAATTCCCCAATATACCTAACGAAAATGCGCGCTTAAGCGAAGCTACATCGTCGCATGAAGTAAGTAAGCGACGTCGCTACAACGAATACATGTTGGGCGCCGTTAGCAGCACAAGCAATAACTCAGACAACAGCATCGATAAAATTGGCAAAAGTTCGAATAATAACTGCCGTAATCGGCGTTTCAATAGCACCTCAACTATGGGTCACCTCAGCAGTGGAAGCTGTGCCGGCATTGCCTTGGAGAAGCGGCAATTGCGGAGCAACAGCGGTACCGTGGACTACTCGAAGCGCACTTTGCGTACGCGTAACTCACTTACCAAAGACCTGAAGGCGAAAGCATCGCTCACTACAACTATGCGACGCGTAACGTCACAGTTTCTGCATGAAACAGCCGTCAGTCTTATGCACAGCAATTCTGCGCTGGCACAACAGCGTCAACAACACAGCGCGAATGCATCGCACAACGGCAGCGGCATGAATTTGAATAGAAATAGCAGTGCGACAAACAGCAGTTGCAGCAGTCGCGGCCTTGGACGTAGGTCGCGGGCGGAGAAGCTACTAACAAACAACACCGACAATTTGGAGGCAGCCTTCTCACATGTTATCAATCTGCGATCGCGCAAGGTTGCACATTTTGCTGTCGCGGCTGCAGCAGTAGCGGCGGCAGCGGCAGCAGGCAACAACACACAATCCACACGTCGTGCAAGAGGCGTTATAGGTGGGGTTGCTGGCGCGGGTTCGCCGCTCTTGTCTTCATCATCGGCAACGGTGCTACGGCGTGAGCGACACAACCTGCGCAGCTTGAATTCGCGCAACTCCGCTAGTGCCAGCCTAATGTCAGCCAATGGTCAGCGTGATTACGGCTATGGAAAGTCAACACGCGGCGGCTTGCATGCGGCAGGCATGTGCGCTGCATACAACATGCAGTCAAATTCAGTGCCCACGTCCAAGTTGCTTAACGGCGCAGCCGGTGTGACACACGCGACAACACGTCCGCGAGCGCACACGCTGCTCTTGGCAAAGCAGCCTGTAAGTGGTACGACAACGTCTAGCGCGATGAGCATGCGCAACAGTAATGCAGCAACACCTTTGGCAGTGCAGCCTACTTCGTACGGGAAACGTACTACGGCGTTGCGTAGTAGTGGTGGTGGTGGTGGTGTTGGCGGCGGCAGCAATATGGGCGCGACGCCCGTGATGCTGACGCGCAGCGGGCGTACTGGCCGGCGGATGAATCGTTGAAGGGGTACGGGAGTATGGAAGTGAATGTTGTCGCTGCTGCGGCGACATTGTGAGTAAATTAGTACAAAAATGCCTGAAAGCATGCTAACACTTAGCGATTTTCATTGTCAAGGTTTTGCAAGAAGTTAAAAGCAACTTAAATTTGTAAAATTATAAAAATTAACGCTGCATGTGCAGCAATTAGATATGTGAATGCAGTACGAAGCGAGCACCTCGCGCAAAATTAAAACAGAAAAATACTAGATTTTTGTAAATTTAGTTGTTTAGTTGGTGTCCTCTACAAGCAAAATATGTACATACATATATATGTATTGCCAACTTGAAATTTTATTCCAAAAAAGCAGAAACTGAAAAATGCAATATTTATTAGTAAATAATACCTACGTTAGTACTTTTCTTTGTTATGTCTACTTATTTTTTCATAGTTTGCCAAACGAATAAAATAGAGCAATGAAAAATTAAATCAAGTGCTGCATTAATAAATGTGAGGTGTGCACGAATAATTTAATGCGCGAAAGAAGGGAAATTTGAGGTTTAGTTAAAAAACAGAGTAATAATATGTAGCAATTGTTCCTTTCACCACACTGATTTCCATGTAGAACAAAAGTATTTATATTAGGCGCTAAGCTGTAACTAAAGTCAAGTCAGAAGAAAGGGAAAACTGATACAATATTAGTTATATACTGTTAAATCATAAAAGATGCTACTAGTTTTTAGGTGGTAGCTGTAGGCACGCTTGCGCGCTTTTATAATGTAAGTAATTTAAAAAAAAAAAAAAAAAAAAAAAAAATTGCCAGCAAACCATTGACATAAACTTTATTATAATTTTAAATATCTATATAGTAGATATATTTATCTTAAATAATACTGATGTACATATAAACAAAGGTGTTATATATTTCATTTTTTTGTTTTGGCGTGTAAACCTTTCAGAAGCGTTTAAACTACTTAAACGACTAAATCGTATGAAATTCATAATCCAAATATTTCATTTTCCAAAATTAGTGCTGGTATCTACTCGATTAAAACCATTTTTTATAGTTAGTTGTTTATGCTGTTGCGTTATAAAAAAGTACCTTTATTAATATGGGTCTTCACACCGAGCCCGGCATTCTTTAACTCGGTGTTCGGTAATTTTTTCTAATGCAGTTTATTTGTATAAAATAGTGTTACACAAACAAAATACATGGGAAAAAAATGACCGAACACCGAGTCACCGAGTACTAAGCTTCGGTGTGAAGACCCATAATAATTTGAAATTTTAATACTTTGGATTAAATTTAATTGGAAAATATTTATTTATTTAAAATTTTAATTGAACTCGTTACAACTTCTTTAATTGATCTTGAATTTAATTTGAGTTGATTTTTTTAATTTTATTTTATGTTACACCGTATATTTTAATTTTGATTTAAAAGTTAGATTTGTAATTTCTCGATTAAATCACAAAAACAAACAAAAAAGTTGATGTGCCTTATTGCGTTAGTGCAAAGTAATAGCTGCATTTATTTCGGCAATATTAGGGAAAAAACGCAATTGCAACAATAGCAATAACAATAAAACATACCGACACTTTCAAGTAATTTTAAGTCCACAGACTGCACATAAATGTTGTTCTAAAAGTATTGGCTAAAAATATCGCAAGAGTACATTGAAGGAGTAAATGTGAGCTATACTTTGCACTAAGACGTCTTGGAGGTTATATTTACTACATTTAAATACAAAACAAAAAATACTCCCATCTCATTTCACCGCTTCTAACTCCACACTAATTTCTTATCAAAAATAGTAATTTGTTATCAAAAAATTATACTTGCACTCAAAAACATTTACCATTCATATTTTATTTTTAAAAATTTGCCCTGTATTACTAGCTATTAAATTTATTTAATATAAAATCATTCGGGAGCTTTTAAGCGTAGTGCTTAGTAGGGTTAGTTTTAAAAGCGTACTTGTAGTAAAATGTAGTTTTTTAATAATTTATTAGCTTATAATATGTAGTAATTAGTTGTACGATTTTCAATTTATTTCTAATTTGTATAACTGTATGTTTGTATTTGTGAAATTGATAATCTATGAATAGTAAAAAAATATGTAAAAATAAATACCAATAAATATATTTTTTATGAATTACAAAAAAAAATAATAATTTACGCATTTTTCACTGAAAAACTAGATTAGTCGCAGCGAAAAGTCACATTATTAAAAAAAGTGAAAATCTTAAATACATAGTTTATGTTTTTTTTTTAATTTATGGTGAGCCAGAACGACCCAGATTCATTTCTGGCCAAGGACTGTGACTCCAGCATCCCTCGCCAAAAACTCTTCGGGGAATTTGTATGCAGTTACAACAACAGGTGCATACTACCACTCCATAGGACCTAGGTTCGATCTCGGGCCCGAGCAACATTTAAAATTAGACAAACACTTAACTAAAGTGTAAGCGCCAATTATCCAAAGAACTGATAAATATAATCAGGGCTATCACAGAGTCCATCGTAGTCCGATTTTTCGTGAAATCTACGAAATTGCTATCATCCGTATAGCTATGAACGCAGCGTATATTTTGAATGCTCCCGTTCGTAGCAATTCGTATTCAGTGATCGCATTTTCGTAGATTTCATGAAAAATCGGACTACGATGGGTTATGTGATAACCCCTATTACCCATCTCTCTTTGGTTCAAATCCGTCGGAGTAACCCGTTTCCTGCTTTTGCCGTGAGATGAATTGAAAGACATCACTTAGATAGTGAATTCACTGATCGAGGCAGTGTTTCGTAACAAGCCAGTGGAATACTCTCCGAACTGTTTAAAGCCGACGAAGAACATGTCGGAGTTGTAGCGGCTATTTAGCCCCGCCTAGATTAGGTTGTCCCTCAATCGTTGTCATCAAGCTCAACTAACGGAAATCCCAGGAAGTGTGCAACTCCGATTGGGTTAGTCCATACGGACAGGGGTGTTAATTGAGTGGGATTTAGGTGGCATGCGAAGAGATGTCTCGAGTCGTGGGAAGACGCGTCGTGTAGTTGGTGCTGTGGCGATAGCAGAAGGCATCGGGTGGCTGTCCGGAGTGCCGTGTTTTGGCAAGCCTATTACTTCGCCCACTGCGTCCTGCTGGTTCCGACGACAACGTTTCTTTGTATTTGCCGCAGGTGCTGTCGGCTAGCGACTTGAGGACCTTGTTGCGCCAATGTACTTTAGAAGAACTCCTCCAAAAGGCCTTCTGAAGTAGAACGTACTACAAAATCTTTTCTGGCAGCTCTTCTGTACGTAGTGAAAGCCGAAGCCCTTCAATTGGTGCCAATCCACATAAAAAAAGAGAAAGGAGAAACGAATGCAGAGTGGTAGGTCTCTTGATTCTCAGGAAGACCTTCTCGAGGCGTTTTATAGCTCCTGATATTATCTACAGGGGAGCCCTTTTCCAATCCATACTTTTATATGCCGCAGAAAGGTGGATGATGTCGAACTTATGGCTGATGACGGTGAAAGCAGTCCAAGGAAGGCATCGGTACCCAAAAAAACAAAATAGCGACAATAGCGAAAGATCTGTCTGTACTAGGTTTGAGTAATTGGCGGAAATTCACGAACGAGTGATCTGATTACAGTTATCGAAAGTTCTTAGTTTATGCTCAAACCAGCGAACGGCTTTAGACCAGCCATGGGCAGAGAGCTGTTACTCTTCACGCGACTATACAAAATGCATAGAAAGCTTGAAAGAGCTTGGCCCGCTTTAGAGTAAGAAAAAAGAAGAAGAAGAAGCAATATGTCCGTATGGTATAACGATTATTTGCTATTTACTGTGACATTGTTCTAATTAAATTCAATAACTTAGAACCTAATTAAGTGTGAAACATTTATATGGAATTCGAAAGTTTCCCAGCTTTGTATTTCATCAGCGCTTAACGCCGAAGACAACATTTATGTATGAATTATACGTAATGTAAAAAAGTTATTCAAAGTACGTTATTTTATTTTTTAAGGTTTTAAATTATATTTTAAAAATATCACAGACTTAACAAAAATTTACTTAGCCAATAAACAATAAAATTTAATCTGCGTTTAAGCGATTTATCAAATTTATTTGAAGTGCTTTTATTGCGAGGCATAAACCTGTTCTCCGTTGTTTTGACATATTTTTTGAGTAATTGTCCAAATTAATTTTAAGCTCAGCTTCCTCTTGGGCGCACGTTTTAACGGGTTAGTTCCCTTGTTTACAATACTTCCTTTATTTAAATGAAAATGAAAAAAAAACGCAGATAATTGAAACTTGAAATGTTTGATTCAAACTAGTTTAATTCGTTGCCTCCCCTATGGCACTTAGAAGAAACTGAAATCAGTTTTTTATATACATAATTCTTGATCAAAGAGAGCGAAATTTTGACGTCTTGACAGCCTTTGTGCGCGCCGTTGAATAATTCGCTGTAATCTAGGTCTCCACTCAAATGCCTGATAACGAAATGCGAGTATAAACTAATTAGTTACATTTCTAATTTTTACGTCTTAAAAATAACTGATAATTATTAACCTTGTCTGCTGATCCTATGGCCTAAGAAAGATTAATTTAATTTTTCTGTTGGGAATTTAGTGTAAAAGATGAAATTCTTATGAAAGTACGTTCCGTAAAATTCGACTGGGGTTTTCGGTAGTATTTTTAGTATTAAATTATGAAAGTAGAATGCAATTTAACTTTCATGATGTTAAAAAATATATGCTCTTCTTGGAGATATGTATGTATGTATGTAGATTGAACCAGTACTTATGAAAATAGCCGCATGTTATCCCCGTTTAAAATTGGGTGAATTCCAAAACGTCAAAATACAAAGCATCAGTCTTTTCTTTTATTTCTAAACCGCACTAGAAGAAAAAGTCAAACTTGCGCTACCTAGCTGAAAACTAGCATCTAACCGTGCTTGCGCACATTTAGCATTACAATCTGCTGAGGTTCAGATATAAAAGAGACTGATGCTGACGCTTTGGAATGCACCCATTATGCCTGTGATCGGAGCCACGACTGCGCTCGTGAGTTTCTTAACTTTTAGTCTTCCAAAATATGAAGAGATCGCCAATTCTCAGGCAGTTTGGGTGTCGCACAGTGGGCCGAGAGACCATGTTTTATGCGAAAAATGAGAAGGAATGTTACGAATTTAATAAAACTTTAGTACTGAAATATCTCTTTGTTTTGCTAAAGTCGATTATGCCATACAATGCATAGTTTGACAGTTGACAGCTGTCCAAAAAAAGTGTATATTTCTCTTAAAATATTTTTGAAAATGCCACTGATTAGGTTCCTGACATGCTAGGCATGGATTATATTTAATTTAATTAAAAATATAATGTAAATTTTCCTAAAGTTAAGAAAACATTTTTTTAAAATGCCACCTATTAGGTTTTGAGATATGTTGATCACGAATTTCATGTCAAATAAAAATTATGGCTGCTGTCAAATAAGCAGCCAGTTTCTCTAGAAATAAGGAAATTTTCCCAAAATTAAAACCTACTAGTGTTCAAGTCTCACTGATTTCGAATTCAACACTGAACTTGATATAAACGTTTAAACATTTTTAGTTGACAACTATAAAATCAACTGTAATTTTCCTTAAATATAAGAAAACCTTTTAAATCTTTAGTGACTTTTTCTTGAAGTTGAGTAAAATATTATTTTTTTTTGTTTAGCAAAATACATGCGTTATTGTCTTAAAGAGAACACATTTAAAATTAATTTAGAATTAAATTGTCTGGTAGGTATCCTTATTTATTAGTACCATAGTAAAAGTCGGGATTTAAAGAGGGAACAATTATTTCATTTAAAATTTTGGATTCGTAACACTGTACAGCACTCGGCTGGATATTGGGCAAACCAACTTTTTTTAAGAGATTGAGTCAGAACTAAAAAAAGTAATTTCTCCGTTTTTCGGAGTTAGCCTCCAAAATCGAGATATGGGCCTTCGAAGTTCGAAATTTGGACCTTTGGTAAAAATTGTAATTGCCTTTACAGCGATACCAATTTTTTAAAAATACGGTTAGAATCTTTTTGACTAAAATACTCTTTTTTATAAAAAAAGGTATTCTTTCCTTTAAATATGTTTTTTTTTTTAATTCTTATATACGAAGCATATCAGAAGAAAGGGGGTTTAATCGCCTTTTCAATGCTACCAACCTTTTAAAAATCGGTTAGTAATTTTTTTGTTTACTTTATTTTTTTTATAAAAAAAGGTATTTTTTCCTTTAAATATGGTTTTTCTCAAATTTTTATATACGAAGTATACAAATATGTATATCAGAAGAAAGGGGATTTAATCGTCTTTACAACGACATCAATTGTTTAAAAAACTGTTGGTAATTTTTTTGTTTAAAATATTTTTTTTTTAATAAAAAAACGTATTTTTTCATTTAAATGTGTTTTTTTTTTTTAATTTTTATATACGAAGTATACAAATATGCATATCGGAAGAAAGGGGGTTTAATCGCCTTTACAACGATGTAAATTTCTTAAAATCAATCAGTTCAAAATTGTTTGCAATATAAGGAATTAAATTTTTCGAAGACCTGAAAGTTGACCCTTATAGCACTTGTAATAGAAGTTTGCACAAAAAAGGTTATATACCATTTAAATAAGAGCAAAAGGACAACTACGTCTATATTTTTAGGTTTTTAGTTATTTACATGCAGTAATTAAATATAATTGTTTACTAAAGGTCCTATTTCGAACTTCGAAGGCCCATATCTCGATTTCGGAGGCTAATTTCGAAAAACGGAGAAATCACTTACTTTACCTATGACTCAATCTCTTAAAAAAATTGGTTTGGTCCAATACCCAGAAAAAAAGGTGATTTTGCCATACAGTGTAATCAATGATGCAAGAAACCTCTAACTCACAAATTCCATGAATTTCCATTTGGAATTTTTAAAAGCTAATTTGTAATGAGCGAACTTAACCATCCACTGC